GGGGGGAGGAACACGCTAAGAAGCGCTTTCTTACTATGAATAGTGAATTTATATGTGTAGAGCAACCCTCCCTCCATTAAATGCATGCTTGTATTTTGTTTCGGGGTATATCTATATCTATATATATATATATATACAATCAGAAGGGGGGCGTGGTGGATCGAATGAGCGTGCGCTTCTCTATGCAGCCTGCATGTGCGTATGAAAGGGTGTGGGGTGCGTGGGGTGTCGAAGTACTTACATCACTGCTGTTACTGTCTGAGTTTGTCCTCCTGTTTCTCTCTCCGCTGTTAATGTGGCGCAGTCTTGGAAGGGCGAAGGGCAACAAAGAGATTAGTGGCGAAAGAGGAATTTGCGGTTTCGCTGAGAAACATACGTGCTTAACACGTGCGCCAACCTGCGAATAAACAGATTGAAAAGGGGAAGGCCGAAGGTGGAAAGTGAGGGAAACATCAGCAGTCTCAGTTAGTGGAAATATAATTGCGTCAAGAAATGAACTTGCGCATACACGGGGCGCACAACAGCCCGATCGATGTGGGAGAAGGGCGGGCGCCCCGCAGAGTGTACGGCCTTCCCATTCCACAGAAAGTGCACACCATCGATGAACATGGCTACGAGTCCACAAAGCACGCGCTGAGGTTCCGCGGCAATGATTGGGACATCGCGCTCAACACAAGGCGTGAGGAAATCACATTGGCGTTTGTGCAGGAGGCTGCTGCTGCGACAGGTGAGCCAAAGACCAACATACAGAACGCTCGCTACGCCGTGGATGAGAAGAACCGGCTCGTTGTGCGGTTTGACGTGCGCCACAAGGCACAGACGTCAAGCTCCGTCGTGCAGGACCGCCTCGCGACGTACCCGTTCAAGGGGGTGACACAACTCTACGAGCCACGCACAAAGAATACGCGACCGAGCGGCCTCCAGAAACAGACATCCGGCGTGACATCATCCCTTGCGCTTAGCCGGCGGCTGCATCCAACGCTGAGCTCCTTCGGGCATGCCGCCGCTGCGGTTGGCCCCAATGGCCCGGAATTCCGCGACGAAAGAGAGGAGGAGGAGCCGCTCGAAGCGGAACCTGAGAAGCCGCAGAACGCACAGATTCTTCCTATCCTTGCTTAACCTCGTCGCATATGCGTCTCTCCGTTATGGACGCATTTGGCTCTCCCCCCCTCCTTTGACGAGGTGGACGAGAGGGACGCCGGCATATAGGATCTGGCTCTCGGGAGCTTATATATTTGTGTACGTGTGCAACTATAATTTATTTCTCTTCCCGACGGCAACGAGTAGAGCAACAAGAAGAAAAATAGCAACAACAACAACAACAACAACAATGATAAAACCACAGAACCGTTATCTTTGCGTTCTCAACTCTATAACGTACGGTAGGGAGACGGAAGCAAATGGATAAACAGGAACATGATTTATGGGTCCATACCTTTCATTATTGTGCCGCCCGGTGAATCCAATACAGGGTTCATGAGACTCGATCAATGCGTCTCTCCGTGCGTGCCTGTGATTGTGTGTGTTTCTGTGTGAGTACCTTTCCCAAAGTAGAGTGGAATGCATGCATTCAAAACAAAAAATGCAACAAACGTTTAAAGAAGACTACTATAAGTGCCACTACCTCTACATCAATGCAAGCGACGTTCAGTGCGGAAAAAAAAACACGGCGCACTGCATATTTCAACAAGCGACCAGTCAATGTGTCGCGTGACAAGCGAAAATAAACAAAAAGTTTTATCTTATTTCGTTCTGCGTCAAAAATCGGGTCTCCCTGTACGCCTCTTCGGTGTTCAGTGTGCCTTTGTGGCACCAATATGCACTTGTTTATGCCTTGGACTGCATTAGCCACTCCCTCTCCACGTTTATTTCTCTATTACGTGCCATATAGAGGACGCTTAAGGCAAGATAAATAGACAATTAGACACACCTAGTGATATGCGCGTCTAACTAACGTTACACCACGCTAATGAAACACTTTTGCGTGTCAAAAAAAAACCCAAAATTCGCAGCGCGTACCAAAGCGAATGTAAAGTAAGATGCAATATCGGACAATGCGGGAGTGTGCCACGATGAGCTCAGCTGGTGCTGGGTGCGGGCTTCAAACCCGTAGGCGAGTTGGACTCGCAGCCGTTCGATTCGGCCTTTGTGGTGTTTGGTTTCATACGGTGGCTTGTGACAGTGGCAGGCTGGTGGCTCGTGTGTGTGTGTGTGAGGGGTGAGGGGTGCGCCTCAGTGTGTGCTTCACCATTCGGTGTGCTTTCATGTTCGCCTCGCTCTTTTCGCTTCCTCTCCAAGGGTGCACCAAAAAGCATCACACGGAAAGAAGAGACAAGGACACTTTTTTTCTCGTAATACTTATTTTTATTTATTTTAGGCTATGCTGCTTGGTGTGAAGAACGCTGCTCTCACCGCGGCGGCGATTGTCCTTGTGGGCATCATTGTTTCGTGGAAGTTTTCATTCCAATATGCGCCGCCGTGCGCGGGGTGGAAGCTGTGGGCCTCGGCGGGTGGCAGGAAGGGCCCACAGGACGCTGATGGCACCGCGCGGGCGGAAGGCTCTCGCCAACAAAAAACGCTGGGGGATGGGCAAGATTCCTCTGCGGATGTATCGCTGCCGCGGAGCTCCGATGACTCCACAGTGGACGGCCACCAGAATACACCGAACGGCTCGCGTCGGCGGATCAGCAAGCCGATGCCGCAAGAGGTCCGCGACTCGATCAGTCGTGGGGGCTCCATCAGCAGGGACGATGAAGGTACTGAGGGCAGGTAGTGTCAATAATTCTTTATGTATGTTTTACTTGATGCGGCTCCGCGCTGTTTGTCGTGAATATTTCCTTTTCGGGACTCCGGCTGATCTTGGGGTGTGTTGGTGGCATTACGACTCTTGTTGTGGCGCGCTTTCTCTGTTTGCTGCTGTTTCCCATATGGCTCTCTCTCTCGTGTCTCATCCGTCTTGTTGCTGCTTGTGTAGGCGTTAGTGCGGTGTGTAGGGCGATAATGGTGCGGGAGTGTGCCACGATGAGCTCAGCTGGTGCTGGGTGCGGGCTTCAAACCCGTAGGCGAGTTGGACTCGCAGCCGTTCGATTCGGCCTTTGTGGTGTTTGGTTTCATACGGTGGCTTGTGGCAGTGGCAGGCTGGTGGCTCGTGTGTGTGAGGGGTGAGGGGTGCGCCTCAGTGTGTGCTTCACCATTCGGTGTGCTTTCATGTTCGCCTCGCTCTTTTCGCTTCCTCTCCAAGGGTGCACCAAAAAGCATCACAGGGAACGAAGAGACAACGACACTGTTTTTCTCGTAATACTTATTTTTATTTATTTTAGGCTATGCTGCTTGGTGTGAAGAACGCTGCTCTCACCGCGGCGGCGATTGTCCTTGTGGGCANCCCTCCGTAGCTGCTGCTGCGGATTGTGGTGGTGCGGTGGCGGCGTCTGCCGACGAGCCTGTTGCAGCGGTGCATCCTCTGAAAGCGAATGGCTCCGCGCACAGGGTGGATGAAAAGCCAAAGGTCAGCACGGATATCTACGAGAGCGAGATTAGCGCACGGCAGTACATGGAATTCCACTACACGCCAACGCGCAGCAGTTATGCGCAGCGTCTGCGCGCCATCAGTGAGTCCTTCGACTTCCCAACACGTGTGGCACTTAAGTTCAAGGAGTTTCCACCGCAAACCGGTGGGGAGAACATAACAGCACTTGATATCGGCTGTGCAACCGGTGCTTCTTCACTTGAGATGAGCAAATATTTCGACCGCGTGGTTGGCATCGATTACTCTGAGACTTTCGTCCACCTCGCGCAGGAGTTTGTTAGGAAGGGGGGCAAGAGCCGCAGCTTCCGCATGGAGTACACTGCGCCTGACCAGGGAGACATCGTGGTGGAGCGCACTGTGCGCGTGCCGTTTGGGACGTTTCCGAAGCGCTGCCAGTTCTTTCGCGGTGACGCGATGCATCTGCTGGCCAGCGAAGGGAATGGTGCGGCAGTGCCGAGTCCTGCGAGCCGCTACGACGACGTGTCATGGTACCAGGTGCCGTGCGACGAGCGCTTCGACGGCGTGCTGGCGGCCAACCTGCTGTGCCGCGTGCCGGACCCGCGCAAGCTGCTTGAGGTGTTCCCACGGCTGCTGCACAAGGGTGGGGT